TTTAATGAGCGAGAACGACTTTTTTAAACGCGATATTGTCATAGAAATGAACATAAAACAATTGCTAATTTAAATTGTGAAGGAAAGATTTGTCAGTAGCGAAGTAAAATCTTCATTTATCTCTGTTCCCTTATATAATTAAAAGGTATTGTGTTTTCCATTCGTGCATATCTGTATCTGGCATTAAGTCGTCCGGATAAACGGATCGATAGTTTAATCCCTTGGCGTGTTATCTGTCTAGTAATCTTGAGATTCTTCCCTTTGTTAATCCTCGGTTTCCGCTTGAAATTCAGAATTAAGATGTCTTGTTAATGAGAAGTCGTAAACTTCGTTAGTCGGTTGTAAAATTTTTACACGACATGCTTCTGAAGGGCGAGAACTCTACATCCTTCTGCAGCTCTCATCTATAATGTATAGTCTCTCTGAAAATATTGCGCCTTATCCTTTCGGTCGTTTTATCGAAGGATATTTCGAGACTTTCCTTCATTTTTGATCTTCTGAACAGCCAAAAACATCATTTAAATCAGTTACACAAATGTAAACGCTCTTCGTAAACAGAGCGATAAATAATACGGGTCGTAAAAACTGACAAAAATATACAAGTATATATTATGAAAAAAGGGAATAGTAAAAATATAAATGCATCTCGAAAACGATATAGATATACGAGTGTAATTCGTAAAAATGCTAAATAAAAATATATATCCAACGAAAACCGTCAAAAAATAATAATAATATACTTTATAAAAATTCAAAAATTACATCCTTGATAGGTAATAAAAATATTAAAGCACGTGAAATTGCGAAATATTATATAATATACGTGAAATCTAGAGATGTATTTGAAAAAGCAACAAATATGTCTTTAAAAAAAATGGGCAACTTTAAAGATGAGGCTCAAGAATACCTCAAGAAATACTTCCAGTATCCAAGAAGTATACCACATATGCCAATAAATAACTCTAGAGTACCTCAAAGATACCTGAAGATAAAAGTACAAACTGGAAAATGAATTCCAAACTGAACAGTTCGAACAGAATAATGTTTTTAAATGATCATCCTTTGTAGTTGAAGGTGGGCGTTCTTTACATAGAATCGTTGTTTGTTGAGTTCGATGTAATAGAGAAGAAAAATTTTCATTACAAATTAGAAGCGAAACAAAACAAACGGAAAGTTTCCACACTGTTTTCTTCCCCTCTTTTCAAAATAATTAACGATGGCGGCGCGTTGCTTTTCTTCCGGAACCATTGGCGCTCCCGCTCTTCCGTTTCTTTGCACTTGGGATAAGAAAGGTGACGACGGATATCGAACCCGGTTACCATGACAACTATCTCCGAGCGGAGGCGAGCCAGAAGTCGCCCGTCTATTCGGGACCGAGGAATTAACGTTCGACTTAACCAATGGCACCCGTTACGTTACGTTTAATTGGTATCGATTAGCGTAACGCGCGAATGACGAATAGGCGACCTTAGAAAACCGGAAGAGCATCAGTTTTTAAGTGAGAATCATTTTATATTCTAGTGCTGTATCCGATTCGTCCTTAGATTTTACACTTTTTTAGAGGATGGAGAGAAAAAGCGTAGAAGCTGAAAAAAAAAATACTATTGCAGGTGCATTAACCCGCCACGCCGCTTCTTTTGTCGGAAGCTTTAACTCGATTCCCACCTACGCATGTAACTCGAATAGAAGATGGAGCAAAATATCTGTGTTATCGAGTGGTAAATGGCGTCTTCTTTCCTGTAGACTGCGCTTCTTTCCCTTTCCTTTCCCTTTAGTGGATAAATCCCTAGCGAATCGCATCGCTTTTGACATTTTACGACTATAACTGTATAACGCCTACTCTTTCATGCACAGTTGTCTTTACTTCAATTCCCCTTTTGTCGTATCTATTTGCCATACTACGCCATTTTCTTTCGTTTCTTGTTACGTATACTGTATAATGAATTCGTCTGAAAATAAAATTTGTATGTGAAAAAAGTCGCTTTAGAAGTTAAAATCTATCGCGCGATGTCGTTTTAGGCCTATATAAATAATCATATTCTCGATTCTATGAAAAAAATATTTTTAAATTTAACTTTTCTTTATTGTCGTTGCTATTCCGGGTGCTGCTATTTTAGTCTCTTAATTTATGAATAGTTGAGGGTGCTCCGTCATTCGAACATATATGGATGGACTTCTTCGACGAATTAGTCAGCGATCAATACCCTATCTTCCATTTTTTCCGCTACTCGTAGCTAAATTCTCAATGGTAAGCGACGCGATAAAAATCACTCGCTGCAATTTTTATAGCCACGTCGCCGCGAGCGTGAGCGACTTAACGTAAATGCTCGCAGCGATTTTATCGTGAGACATTTAATTAAAAGCGCATGGCGACATTCAATTTTCTCATAGCGCCATCTGTTATCAAGAAAGCGAATTAATGCAGTTATTAATTAATTACCGTGCTTTTTTTTCGCTCGTAGATGTCGCTTTTTTTTCTCACGTGCAAAAGAAATCTCGCGAATTCTATCGGCAGCGCCACCAATGTTTCATTAAAATCGGATTTTATAGATTACGTTTGGATTTTATATATCCTTTGAAGATTTCTTTTAGGCTCTAACGATTGAATTTTCCGGAAAATACGTCGAAAAACTATTTTCGAAAATACAAATCCGTAAAATTTGAGATTTAAAATTAAATACTGTATTTTCAGCACAATCGAACTGCTAAAGTTTAAGCTCAGATTTAACTTTTAAGCCGAGGATTAAGCACGAAATACTCGGAGAATAAATTTGAATTCCAGATTAATATCGAAATAAAAGAATGTTTCTATGTTTGTCTGATGGATAATCTCGCAAAATTGAGAAAATTATTATACAGTCGACCCCCCTATAATACTGTTGATAATTCCGTTTTATATGAATTCTATGTTGTACGAGTCGCTTAGATTTTGCAAAATACGGGCTGTAAACGGCTCACGTATTTGTAAAATCTAAGTGACTCGTACAGCATAGAATTCATATAAAACGGAAAAATCAACAGTGTTATAAGGAGGGTCGACTGTATAACATACATGAAGTGTAATTCAAGCCCTGCAAAAGATATATATATATATATATATATATAGACCTATATATTAACACGCGAAGATGTAAATTAACATAATACATACTAAAGATGTAATGAATGGTAATTTTTCTATTAAATTTATCACCGGGTTAATAGGTAGAGCAGTACTTCAATCGAATTTTACGAGCTCAATATAAAAATATCCGATGCAGTTGAAAGCCGTGTTTTAATGTAGTGGTATCCAGGTACGAGTAATTCCTTCGTCGACAATGTCTTTTTCTATTTTTAAGTATTATAGAGGATTTTATTGTCTCTGCCCGTCTCCATCCAGCGATTTCTGTGAGTTATCGCGTTATAAACAATCCTAACTTCCTTTGAAGGTTAAGCGAATTGCAGGTCGATAATATGTCGCATGTGTGATTCTTTCTAAAACTTATATACGGCGATTTTTAACTCGTTAAGCTTCTTTATCCCCACACGGAAGTTAGATAATTTACTTTTGTTTTATGTTTTAATTTCTACTTGACATTAAATTAAAACGTGATATTTTCATATATTTTATCTTGTATATTTTTATCGATCTTAAATATATTATGATTATAATTCCTGATATTTTTAATGGAATAACTAAAATGGAGTTAGATAACTGATCCTATCTTAAAATATGTAAATTAGAAATAGTCACGAAGTCTGATGGAGGAATCTATGTTCTAGATCCTAGTCTTTTCTCTCTATTTCTAATAAAAGGATCCTGAAATTCCTTATTTTTTTTTAATATTGAAGTAATGGTATTTCTAATTTCTACTGTCTGCATATATTCTAGTATCGTAATCTTGATAATTTCTTGTTCCTAGTTTTCAAAATCTTGATGTAAATGTTAGAATCGTGGCATTCCTAGTTACTTCTACCGGACAAGAAGTCGAGATTCCTAATAAGAAATTAGGAATATCAAGATTTTATATTCTTAGTATTGTACTTTTAGTATTCCTAGTATCAAGATTCTGTCTGAATCTAATACTACTTGTGATTTGAATACTTTTTCTTAGTCTGGTGTTAATTCTTTCGAAATTTTAACATTTCTATTAGGCTAGCTAATATATTCCTTTTGATATTAGCATTTCCTTCGATTCAGAAATAAAATTTCCACACCATAAAAACAATAAAATAATATGATGCAGTGATAATTCAGTTATATTCTCGGATAGTATTTAACAATGGCATCTTCGACATCGATCCGTGGAATTAAAATTTAAAATTATCTCCTGTACAGGTAATTACTCGATTAAAACTAAGCAAACCTGTTAATTTTTTGTTTTTCTCTAGTGAAAATTTTGTTGTAGCTGTACTTTATGTAAGTAAATTTTAATTGGATTTGATGCAATTCGTAATTCGGGGGAGAAGATTCTAAAATTTACTTTCACTCAAAATTAAATATTTATTTACCGTTTTTTTATTATCAATATTACAAGTGATAAACTATTGATATTCTTGCTCTTTTTTATTTTCAATTATAGTTATAACAGTTACTCTTTTTGCTATGTGTAAGAAGTATTGTTGATATTGTTGCTGTAATAATAATAATACCAGGTTCAGGTTCAGGTTCTTTATTGCCGTACAAAGGTACAAGCCCGGTACCGCATAAGCACAACCGGTTTGAAAACGCATACAACAGTAAAGTTACAGGAATAGAGTACATAACATAGCATAACATGATATTCGATATAAATCAATTATNGTTAGGCTTAACATCGACGAAAATTCAACGCGAAGCGACACGCAACGGAGAAAAATATCAACATCGGATACGTTAAACTATTTTTTCGTACATAAATCGGTTATCCGAAATATCAGTTATACGAACAACCCCAGTCCCCAATTGATTCGGAAAATCGACGCTCTACTGTATTTACTATTCTATTGACTGCTCCCCCATTGTACAAGTAACTACTCACCTTGGTCTGTTCTAGGATAATAATCGGCTAGCAGACGAGCAATTAATTCAGTTTTTTGTCGGACGGTTTCGAACATTTTCGTGGATAGTTCTACTTCTAAAATATGGTATTGATCGGCGGAAGTACACAATTTCAAATTCGATACCTTATCGATCTCGTCAAGCAGTTCCTCCTTCCATTTGTCCTGCTTGCTTCTCTATAAAACATAAATCAGCATGAGAATAGGGGTAAAGGAGTACGAAGGATAATTTTTTAAAACAAATAAACGCAACGCCCCCCTTCCAAAAAAAAAAAAGAAGTCCCAGTGAGTGACGTAATGGACTGTGAAACGTCGGGATGTTATTGACGGAGCTTAACACCATAACAAAAATCAGGTGACTCGAACGACCGAGTAGCGAGTGCTCCGGTTGCCATGGTTATGAGATGCTGATGGTAGATAGATATGTCGGATAAAAGCATTTCAGCTTCCATTTTTCGAAAAAAGACATTTTGGGAATATATTTAAGCATGGGAGATGCCCGACAGAAATTAAAATAAAACAAAAACTCTTGACTTCGCTTGTGTATAAATCCGCCACGTTTGCAATAATAAGAGCTTTTTATTCCGTTAATTAAAATCCCTTTCGCGTAGAAAAGTAAATAAAATTTGAGAAAAGATTTACATGTTTCGCCATTTTGAAAATTGATATATCTAATTCAATTGAGAAGAAATAAATACTATTTTATCAAGCGATTAAAACTGAAACGTTTCGGTTAACATCATCCCTCACCCGGTTTAATGGTTAATATATCGATTTACGCGGAGAAAAACCGTGTCTTGGAATAATTAGTACTATATCAATTAAATGTTGTAATTACTTAATGATTTAAATTTAAAAAATATATATATATAAATCAGCAGATCATAAAAATTTAAAAATTTTCATCTGGCAACAGTGCTATATTTTAAAATTTAAATATTTTCGTAAGTGTTGCCAACTTAAATATTAATTAATATTTCGAATATTAATTTACTATAGATTAATTGTTAAATAATTATATGCTATGTTGATAGTGCATTATTCGTGTTTAATAATATTCCAATGAATAAAAATAAAAAAAAAATTATGAGAATATATCGCTACCATTAAATACGAAAAAAAATTAAAAAAAAATAGTAAAAGCAAATTATTAAGTGTTGCCAGGAAAATATTAATATCTTTGAATATCATCGCTTTAATTAATTATTTATTTAAATGATTTTGGAAGAAAGAAGGTAGAAAATCATGTTTTTCTTCGACAATATAACATATTTAACGAAGTAAATCTTAAAATATTGTAAAGATATCTTCTCTTGAATATAGATCTAATTAGTCACGTGTTTAAAATGTAAGAAAAAATTATGACGACATAGATAGGTGACAAACACGTGACTAAATACTCACCTGCGCTTCTTGTACGTCTCCTCTGGTAGGCCAAGGTTTATATTTGCATTGCAAACATCCATCCGCTCCGACGTATACCAGGTAAGCTATGGCGATCCAGAAAGATTTGTGCATCCCGCACACCTGAAAGATAGAAATCTCATTCTAAAAAAACTTCCAAGAAGAAAATAATAATAATAATAATAATAATAATGATAATAATAATA